AAGTCTGATCCATATCTTGTTCTGATTGCTCCTGAGTAGGTACAACCTAGGACATGTGTGTAGCCTTCTCAGTTCCTAGCATTTACCAGGTCAAGAGCGTCTTTCTTAGTTATTTCTTTTGAAGTTCAGGTTGTTCTACCATTTTGCATGTTGCTAGCAGTATCTTGGTGATACCAACACTCTTAACCTGAGGTACCCTATGCTTTGCTCCACATGAAGTTATTGACCTCAATAAGAACTGTAGAGTTCTTCACTCTTACGGCTTGCTTTTTTCCCTGAGAGAACATCTGTGCAACTATATGAATGAATCTAGGTGCAGTGCAACCTTCTCCCAGACTGACATCCCAAGCAGGTGTTTGGAGATTTTCTCAGCCTACAGCTCCCAGTGTGGTACCACTGCCTATGAGTGAGCTGGAACAGGGATAATCAAGGGTCCTTTTTTTTTTTGTATTTAAAAAAAATTATTTACATTTAATCACATGTCTTTACAGTATACATTTCTTTTTCCAACATAAATGCCATGCATATCAGTCAAGACAAAAAAGATACTGCTATATACATTATCATCAGCCAATAGCTTCTCATTTTTTGTCAGTTAAGCATACTGTTACCAGTTTTTTCTTTCCCCTTTCCCCTCCTTCCCTTCCATACTAAACATTTTTTGTTCACATTTTATAGAATCACAAAAGATCTGAAACTAAAAGTTTGGAGAAATTTCTAGTAACAAGTGCATGTAATTTTCTTCTGAAACTTTTTTTTTCTCTCCATTCCCCCTTTTACTGAAGAGAGATATAAACTAACTTATTTGCAAAAAAAGAAAAAAATTAGGTTAATCTAAATTTGGTCTGTTATTTGTATGAAGCCCCATAAGAATTCAATTTCTGATGCAAGGCAACAGATACTATTGTATTATTGAACTTATGCAAATAACCATTCTACCACAAACTAAGAATGCTCACAAAAATTTTCTAATTGCACAGGGGCCAGGAAGAGAGAAAAGTTTATGTTTCAATTAAAAAAAAGTTTTTTTTAAACAAATTGCTGAACCTATCAACAACTAAAAGAAAACTTAAATCTGAAAGCATAGATGGAAGAAAATCAGTAATGTTTTCAAAAAAAGTCATAGAATTCTATTTCATCAGTGCAGTCTCATGTAATTTCTCTTTTGTTGAATTTGCAGTGTTACTGTGGTCTGACCTTTCTGTTAATAGTCAACATTATTATTGATATTTCAGCACTTGTCACTACCATTAAGTTGGCATTTTACTTAGTCATTTTTTTCCCCCTCTTGTTTGTCTGTCTTTAGTTTTCCTGATATAATTCCCTTCAGAACTTCTCAAAGAGCTGGTCTGGTGTTGGTAAATTCTTTTCAGGTTTTGTTTATCTGAGAATGTTTTTATCTTTTTTTTCCCCTATGAAGGATAATCTTGCTGGATATAATAATCTTGGTTGAAACTGTTTTTCACTTAACACTTTGAATATATTTTCCCATTCTTTTCTTGCTTGCATTGTTTTTGATGAGAGGTCCGATGTTAACCTGATGGGATATCTTTTGAAAGTAACTTGACTTTTTTCTCTTGCTGATTGTTATTATCTTATTTCTGTCTGTGGTTTTGATCAATCTGGCTATGATGTGCCTTGGAGAAGATATTCTTGGGTTGATTCTATATGAAGTCCTTTGTATTTCTTGGATCTGGATATTTGAATACCTCTCTTGGTTTGGAAAGTTTTCTTCCAAGATTTCATGGAATAGATTATCAATGCCTGATTAATTTCTCTACCTTCTGGGATATGGATTATCTGGATGTTTGGGCAGCTAATGATATCTAGTATTACTTGTATATTATTCTCCTTTTTTTTTGTTATTTTCTGAGTCTTTTTGGCGAATTTTTCCAGGCCAGAGGTTCTATCTTCTACATCTGAGATTCGATCTTCTGCGTGATCTAATCTGCTTTTAATACTTTCAAGAGAGGTTTTGATTTCTTGTATTACAGCCTGCATCTCTAACAGTTCCATTTGATTCTTTTTTATGGTGTATATTTTCTTTTTCAAACCATGGAAGAACCTTCTCACTTCCTGGAACTAGTTGTCTTTTTTCTCCTGTATTTTCTGGAGTTTGTTGTCTCTCTTCTTTTGCATCTCCTTCAGACTTTTCACTGCGAATATCCTAAATTTTTTATCAGATGTTTCCAAGAGTTCCATTGTACTGTCTATGGATGATGAAGAGCTGTTCTTTCTCCTTGGGGGAGAGATAGTTTCTTAATTTCCGATATTTCTTGTGCCTCTGCTGTGGTGGTTTCTGGACATCTGATAGATTATACATTACTTCCTACCTTCTAGGAGTAAATTCTGAGTGCTAGAGGCATGCAGAAGGAAATGACCTGCAATATTTCTGCAGTTCCATTTCCCTGATCCTCACCAAGCAACCTGAACTTTTGTCAGTGAAACCTGGGCTGAGTTGTGGGGTTTAAAGTATTCAGATGTTTCACTGCTGTGCACCTAGACCTGCCTAGACACTCAATGTGCAGAAGGTAAAAAGCAAGGTGAGAAAGTCAAGTGAAAGAAAGGAAACAAAAGGAAAAAGACAGAAAAAAAAAAAAAGACAAAATGAAACAGTGAAAAGGGAAAACATTTATTTTTATGAAAGGTAAAAAAAATGAGAACTGTGGGACTAGCAGTTAGTGTAATGGCTAATTTGCTGAACCCCCATGTAGTTGACCACAGTTCGAGTCCCGGACCCAGTGGCTTAAACTCACGCCGGGTGCATGTGCGTGCGTGCCCAAGATTCCGAGAGGTCAATAGAGGAGAAGGGATTGCGGCGTGGCCATCCCCCCTGGGGGGGATGATTTCTCGCTTTCTATCTCTCTGTCTCTCTCTGTCTGTCTCTGTCTGTCTGGTGAGTGCATATGCCCTATAGCAAAAACCTCTCAAAAAAAAAAAAAAAAAGAGAACTGTGCACTAGGCCTACCTCAGATGCACATGGATTCTGAAATTAGCAAGAGAAAGGATAGGTCCGAGACAAGAGACAGTACCTACAGATTAAAAAATAAATACGTGTGTGTGTGTGTGTGTGTGTGTATGTGTGTATGAGAAAACTTTCGGGAGAAAAGGAGAGGGAGTGAGAGAGACAGAGACAGAAAGAAGACAGAGACCACCCTACCTGGCTTTTCACTGGGTGTTGGGCAGGAAGGAGAGGTTTGGGACAGTCTTTCCGGCTAAAGGGGCAGGGCTGGGCCAACCTCAGATGCACATGGATTCTGGCTTTTGGCTGGGTGTTGGGCCAGAAGGCACATATAAATATTTTAATGTTACTTATAAGACTTATATTTATAGTCATCTAGTGAAGTAGAACAGTTTCAAAAGCTGCTTTTCCCTGTCCTGTAATGGCAGATGTACTGGTTTCTGCTTCTGTTTGGGGGAGACATTTTTTCTTATTCCTGTTTCTTTCTTATTCTCATTTCTCATTCGGTAGTTGGACTTGCTCTTACCTGACTACCTGCCTGTTTTTGAAAACTAAGCCAAGTTACTGATTGCTCTTGGGGCCTTCAAAACCCAGGGGAGACGAGTTTACTCACTATAATCTATTCTGGTGTTCCAGGACTCATTTCACCCCCCTCTTCGTTCCATGGGGCTCAGAGAAGATAAACAGTTGTCTGGCAACTAAACTATTTTAAGATCTAAAGAGAGTTAGGTTAGACCAGGTGTGGTAAATTCCCACAGGAGATAGTGTAAAGTTAGCCTGGAGGGATCTTTAGACCTAGGTACAGTGGTGCAGAGCCCCTTTCCTAGCCCATTTCATCTTTCCAGTGAAATTCATGTTCTAACCGGCTCAGTCACTAACTACTTGTGTGACGTTGGTCATGTTATTTAGTCACCATAGATCTCAATTTTGTGATCTATAAAGTGAGAGTGCTTGGTTTATGAATCTGCATAGTCCCTTCCAGATATGGAAGGTATAATTTTGATAAGAGTCTGCAAGAGATTGTGAAGCCAGAATTCATGAGAGCTGGGTTCTCCCAGGCATATGTGATGGAGCAGATTCCTTGCAGAAGCAGAGGTGATTTTTTAACTTTCCAGTGCTGTACTTAAATATTACAGTATATGTTAGTTTATCCATGTGGCAGGGTGATGGCTCTGTGACTTGTAAAGAGTCTGAAGAAGGAAGATACACCTACTGACCATGTAAGAAAAGATACAGAACAAAACTTAGTCTTACAAGTAAGACAGAAAAAAGTATGGTTTCCAATCAATTCTGAGATAACATAACAGACATCAGATCTGACTAGACCAAGTAAAAAAGTGAAAATCAGCTGTCAAATCCAGGGCAGTATTGACATACAGCCAAAAGAGAGGATCTTGGGCAGAATATGTGGTTCTTCTCCAGAAGACATACCTCTGGGTATTCGTGGTTCACGGTCTCTGAGCCCAACACAGCTAGAAGATCATTGGTTACTTACTGATCTTCCCCTCTTCGGAGGTACAAGACTTTTCTAAAACACTATGTTGTCCATTCTATATTTTATATTAATTTGGGCGTTGAAGCCCTGGGCTGAATCTTACCCATTTCTGTATCCTCAGTAAATAGTAATTGCCCATTCAATGTTTCATGTTCACTGCATTTTTTGCTAGCACTTTCCTGAGAATATTACTCACTTATAACAAAAAAGAGTGCTTTTCTCCCTACATTCTGAATGAAGATGCTGTTGAATAATCATTATTTAGTAAGTTTTTTTCTGATTAAAAAGTTAATGCTTTCAGGGACCAGCAGATGGTGTAATGGTTACATTACTGGATTCCCACATGGCTGACTGCAGTTCAAATCCTGGACCCGGTGGCTTGAAATTCAAGCTGGGCATGTGTGCGTGCATGCCCAGGATTCTGAGAGCAGAGTGGAGAAGAGATTGTGTCATGGTCATCCCTCTTGGGGATGTCTCTGTCTCTCTGGTGAGCACATGTGCCCTGTAGCAAAAAATCTCTCTGTCAAAAAATTAATACTTGCTGGCGCCTGTGCCGCGCCGGCCGCTGTCAGCTCCCTCAGCGTCCGGCCCAGACGCGGTGTATGCTGAGCGGCTGCCACCGCCGGCTACTGCACGTCCTGGGCCTTCGCTTCCCGCTGCTGACCCGCCGGCCGCTTCTCGTCTGCCCTCCTCGCCTCATGAAGCCGTTGGTCGTGTTCGTCCTCGGCGGTCCCGGCGCCGGCAAGGGGACCCAGTGCGCCCGCATCGTCGAGAAATATGGCTATACACACCTCTCTGCAGGAGAACTTCTTCGTGATGAAAGGAAGAACCCAGATTCACAGTACGGTGAACTCATTGAAAAGTACATTAAAGAAGGAAAGATTGTGCCGGTTGAGATAGAGTCCCGGCGGCCAGCGCGCTGTCCGCGTGGCAGTGACCGAGGGTCCGCCCGCGCGCGGCATGCCGGGACTCGTAGTTCGCCTCCGGGGGACCGCTTGGGGTCGCTTTGTTTCTACGCCCCCTCTTTCCTTACATTTTTTGGGGGACCAGAGTGGGCTGAGAGAGGGAGCCTGGGAGTGCCGGCGTCCGGGGGCCCCGTGCGCGCAGAGGTCAGTGTGTCGCGGCTGTGCGGGGTAAGAGGCCGTGTGCGCACACCGCTGCCTGAGGGAGTGCGGCTTTGCAGTTCCGCGCCCTCCCGCCGGCCCTGCGAATTCCGAACCCCGGGCCAGCCGGCGGGTCCCGATGCTCTAGGAAGGAGCGGGCGGCCAGGGTGTTGCTCTAGGCGATCAGTGATCCGCAGCTATCTTCCTCGGGCCCTGTCCTAGGCAGTCTCGAACTAGGGCCAGCCCGGAGGCGCAACCCGGGGTTGTGCAGTTGAACTGCGGGGAGCGGTGTGCTGAGAACCTTGGTCCTGCTGTCAGCCCATGTTTTGTCCTTGAGGCAGTCGCTTCCTCACTGTGAGCCTCAGTTGCCCCTTCTTCTACAGTAAAATGCAACTCTGCTTCCAGATTTACTCAGAATATGAAACACCCCCCCAGCTCTAAAATCGGGTTCCTCCCCCCTCCCCTTTTTTTGCTTCAGAGTGCAGTTACAAGCCCCAGTTCTGTTGATTTTCGGGCTAGGGTGACAGATAAGGTGGTTAGCTTCAGTGATATATATTGTGAGCAGAAAAGCATAATGGCCAATCTGGGGAATGTTTGGCAGAGAAGGAAAACAAAGTGCTAGAAACCGATCAACGGTGGTGTGAAAGAGCCGAAGAAAAGCTGTGAAACTCGGTGACCGATAAAACATTTTGACCCAGAATCTCTAAGATAATTTTCTCCACTTCCTGGATATGGCCTATATTAGTTGAGGCTTTGACTTTTCTCCTTGTGTTCATACAGTCAATGCCTATCCTATATTTTATTTTCTGAAGAGCATCCTGAAAAATTCAGATGTGTTCTAAAAGTGATGAATAGCTTAGCTGTAATGATAATTATTAAACATTTTAGCAAAAAGGTGCAACTAGTCCACCAAAATACATAACTATTTTTCTTCTCATTTTTGTTGATTCTTTTCACTTCTTGAAAGAGAAGTGACAAGTGAATGATTTCAAGTTTTTATTTCATGTATGAAATGAATCTTACATGTAAATAGCATGATCAGAGAAGAAGCAAAGACTTTAGAGTCAAACAGATTGGAGTTCAGACCCTGACTGCTGTTGACTCTTTCTCTAGACCTGCACAAGTTACTTTTAGCTTGAGCTCCTTTGTAGAAAAGGCAAATGCAGAAATACCTGTCTTGTATGTTATAGTGAATATTAATATTAAATAATGTAAAATGTCTGGCACATACAATGCAAATTTTTCCCTCACTTTAAACTTCCTTCCTATTTTATTATGTTGTTATTTTTATCATGAAGTAATACTTTTAAAAATTGGTTAAGAACTGTTATACTTGAGTGTATTTAAATATTTTATTTATGAATCATAAAGTGCCTTTAGATATCCACATCCAAACCAATAATATCTGTATTATTTCAGTGAATTAAAAATAATCCACACATTCTATAATTAGTATTTTTTCTTTATACTGTTCAGTAACAGTTGATAATACTTTAAACCAGTTAATTATGAATTATAATATTCTATGATATATTTTATAGTATATTATGTTATTCTTTAATATTTCAGCAATTACATGAGCTTAAACTGTTTTGAACAGTCAGTTCTTTCATGAAAATGCTTGCACCTAATTCCAATTGCTGTAAACATTATTAAACTATATTAAACTATAATCAACTAATTCCAAATGGTTTATAAGTAAGCAGTTGCAGTCCACCAGCTGACTAAATAAATATTGGAATGTTTATGAGTGTTTAATTTAGAGGTATTTTTTTCTTTGAAAGTCTCCTGTACTTTGAATCAATATTTTATTATATGGGCAATTATAAACTGGATCCTAAAAGATTATAATATTTGGAAAATTTTTCATGAGGAAAAAAGCTATATAAATCAACATTAATTCATGCCAAAACTAATTTAGCTCATAGAATACCTGGAATGTACTGAAACAGAATTGTTTCTTTGGGAAAATTACTCTAATTTCCAACGCAGGCTGCCAAAAATACATCTTTGGAACCTGACTATTGAACCTGAGGATGTCTTGCCCTCTGTGGCCCTGAAGTATTGCAGTCAGGGAAGGGGGTGTGATTGCAGAGAAACTGGTGTTTAAGTTTTTCTCTAGAGGTCAGATCTTTTCTTTTTTACAGAATTATTTTATTCAACTTTATTTATTTTAATTTGGCCAGAGAGGGACATAGTGAGAGAAAGACAGAGTGAGGGAAAGAGGAAAAAGTAACCCTTCTGGTCTGGGACTTGAAATGCGGTAGACCATGTGGGAGTCCAGCACCCTTAACCACAATACCTGCCGGCCCCCTAGAGGCCAAGTCTACTCTGCTAATTGCTCTGTGAAATGAGGAGGAAAGGCTATTCTGATAATGTATCTTTGAAAGGATTCTAACTGGGAAGAAAAGATTTAAGGCAGATTTGAGGATTGACTTTGTTGATTTATTTGTACTAATCTTTTTAGTTTCTGTTTTGTTTTCTAACCAACTGTTTCAAGATCTGTGTACTCACTGTCTCTCTCTGGGAGCCCACGTGCCCTTAAGCCAAATCTTCTACCCCCAAAATACCCTAAAACTCACTAAAACTCATACTAAATTCGTTTTTGAAAATAAGCCATTTTCTTTCTTTTAGTTTTCTAGAGAGTTTGCCCCCCACCCCCCAGGGTGCGTGCACCCACTGGAGAGACAAGAGAGAGACAATAAGAAATCACCCCTGGGGGTAGGGGAGGGCACACTGTAGTCTTCTCTCCTCCATTCTTCTCTTGGGATTTTGAGCACGCACGCACATGTGCCTGGCGTGAATTTAAGCCACTAGGTCTGGGACTCGAACTCCAGTCGACTACATGGGAGTCCAGCCACGTAACTGTTATGCCTTCTGGTGGTCCTTATTTTCTCTTTTTTTGGAGAGATTTTTGTTATAGAGTACATGTCCTCACTAGAGAGACAGAGACAGGAAGCAAGAAATCACCCCCCCTTCCCCTGGGACCAGCAGTTGCTATAATGGCTGCTATGTCACTGGACTCCCATGTAATCAACCACAGTTTGAGTCTTGGACCCAGTGACTTAAACTCACTCCAGGTGCGTGTACATGCATGCGTGCCCAAGATCCTAAGAGGAGAAGGGATTGCAGCGTGGTCATCCTCCCTGGGGGAGTGATTTCTTGTTTTCTGTCTCTCTGTCCGTCTCTGTCTTTCTGGCAAGCACATGCGCCCTATAGCAAAAAACCCTCAAAAAAAGAAAGAAAGAAAGAAAGAAATCACCCTCCCCCCTTCCCCCCCACCCCCGGGGGAATTGACCATGCTGCAATCCCTTCTCCTCCAGTCTTCTTGGAATTTGGGGCACACACGGACACTTGCCCAGCATGAATTTCATGCCTTTGGGTCTGGGACTAGAATTGTAATCAACTACATGGGAGTCCAGTGACATAACCATTACGCCATCTGCTGGTCCTGAAAATAAGCAGTTTTCTAAATCAGTGCAATACTTTATTAAAGTAAAATGCTCAAAGTACAGTTAGTATTGTGTAATTACATCATTCTAAAAAATCATGATGGAGATACTGTGACATTCTGAACTGTTACAGTTTAGCTTTATTTGTATTTCTTGTTTTGACCTAAGGGATATTATAGCACCATAACTTAAACTTCTCTTTGAAAATAATAACCAAAATTTTTCATATGCCTCTTGGAAGGACTGTTTAAACCTCCTCTCCTAGAAAGATGGAGAACATTTTGCTTATATAAACAAATCTTAAATCTGTGCCAAATTGCTTTCTGTAACACCCAGACAGCATTTTAATCATCCATGTCATATCTTCCTATAGGGCCTTACGTGGGTAAGTTACATTTTGCATGGCCATCATAATTACTATATTTAGAAAAAGTTTTGGATGAGGGACCAGCAGTTGCTGTAATGGCTTTGTTGCCAGACTCCCATGTAGCCGACCACAGTTCGCCCCCGAACCCAGTGGCTTAAACTCATGCCAGGAGACAGGCACGTGTGTGCATGTGTGTGTGTGTGTGTGTGCATGCCCAAGGTCCCGGGAGGAGAATGGAGGAGAAGGGATTGCGGCATGGCCATCCCTCCGGGAGGTGATTTCTCGCTTTCTCTCTCTCTGTCTCTGTCTTTCTGGCGAGCACACACGCCCTATAGCAAAAACCTCTCCAAAAAAAACAAAAGAAAAAATGTTGGATGATATTGACTTTAGATATCTAGAAATTCGGAGCTTGATTTTTATTATCTTTGTGTCTCCAGTGTTGAACTTCATGCCTCACACATCATAGGTGCTTAATAAGTATTCATTAGATTAATATTTATGGACGATATTGATTTGTCCTGAAGATGTAAAAAATTTTAAGTGTGGTCTCCAGGGGGCGCCCAAGTAGCAGTTAACTCTCCTTATTTCAGGACCAGAAGTGTTAAGGAGACTTAGCTCTTGCTCAGGTTTCTCATGTAACATTTCTGTTTACTCTCAGTGAATAAATGGTATGCTTGTGAAAATCTGCTGAGCAGATTTCCAAGCTCTGATTACAAATCCCCAAAACAGATTAGCACTCTGAAGAAACTAGATAGGGAAATTCACAGGACATTAAGGTCCAGTATAAAAAATAGGGATTTTTGTTTTTGTGCATATGTGTGTTTAGTGAGAGTGAGAGCACATGCACATGGTAGGGCGAGAAGAGGTATTTCTGCTAGTGTCTTGATGTGTTGTGATTCTCTTGTCCCAACCTCACAGTTAGCTAGGACCGTAAGCACCACTGTCCCTGGCTTGTTTAGGTTGGGC